GTCTTTTGGTGAGATTGACCTATAAATCTTTCTATCATGTGCTTTCGTACGAAATGAAAGTCTTCACACCAATCTTATCTCAGTAGATTCTTCGAAATCCGCATTTTCTCCGTACATACTCAATGCATCTCATTGTGTAAAGTCAGCATCCATTTGGCCATTAGTGGCTTTTCTGGCAATTGTTTTCATTTTTCTCATATCTAGTTGAGAAATCTCATCTCTTTTGTACATTTTTAACCCCGTTCAGAGGAAACGTTCTGTTGCAGAATTCACTCTGTTATTATCTCTTCATCTATCCTCCCGTCATATCTGCATACTTAGCCATCAATCCCCCACCAATCGACTATCTTGACTCAGCTCAGCCTGATTCGTCAAATTGCTGCCCTCCTTGCCCCCCGACCAACCGCTCGCCCCAAGCAGTGCCTCCGACTTCTGGGGTCGCTGCATCAAATTGCAATGACGGCATCCTGTTTCGTGGTCCCGGTCGGCTCGGCGATTCTGATGCTTCCTATTCACCTGGCCAGAAGGCGTTTGGCTATGCACTGGACACCAGTCTTGCACGTAGGCGCCAGCAAGTGGTACGTGGTGGACAGACGTGTTTAAAGAAAGCTGATTCAACTTGCAGCGTCAATCTTCCAGCTGCCGGAGACTTGGAATCGAATCGGCGACCGGTGAACCAATCCGGAAGATCAAGTGGATTACGAATTTGTAGGGCTGGAAGTTCGCTGCAAATCACTCGTGGAACAGGAGCAACTCTAGCCGGTGGCGTTGGTGGTGGTAGTGGTAGTGGAAATAGGCGACCGGTTGATTTGAATCCTTCTGCTTCGTCAGGTGGTCGTGCTCGCTGGCAAGCCTCGAAGACTTCAGGGCCCATTCTTCTGTCTAGTCCGAGAACCAGAACTTTGACCGAACCAGAGTCTGCATTCTCAACTGCTGTTACTTCTCCCGAGGCTCAGTCCTTAGCTCGCCCTATTCTTACGAATGCGTCTACTGCTAGTCAACCAAAGCGCCGGTCAGCACGACGTTCCTGTCCTGTCGAGGTTGGCCACCTGCGCGCGGCACGCCTACTGGCCTCTGAAGGACTTTGCGACATTTCAGAACGATCCGTTGTTACTGATACCCTCGGTCTTGCTGCCCGAGAGATGGGATTTATATGCTCCATGACGACCGCATCTTCAGCTAATGAACTTGTTGGTAGCAGTGGTGGGGTCGATTCCCTTTCCACTCGAAAGCGATGCCTTAAAGGTGACGGATATTCAGGGATTTATGAGATGAACGGATCACACTTCACCAGTTTGCGAAAGGACAGCCCAATTTTGCCAGCAGAAGAGGAGGCCGAGGAAATAGAAGAGAAGAGAGAAGAAATATTCGGCGAACACGAATTCGCTGATGT